ATGATTGAAAAATATACTTTGTTTTGTATTAAATATTTTGTTAAGCTTTTATTTTGTGGGAGGGAGGAGTGTGAATTAGGTATAATACCTCTTCTGTGAAAACTCGTTTGTGTTCTTTGGCAGAAAGGCTATAATTTCAAGTTTTGCTGATGGTTATAAAAACAACCACATGCACTCAATCAAAAGCTTTTATGTGCTTTAGAACTAAGGAATGTGAGGTCCTGTTAATAAGCTGAACCTTATTTCTGGCTCCTCCAGCTTTGGAGTGGGACTTCAAGAAGACAGTAATAGCAGCACTGCATTTGCTCTGTTCTGGGATGGATGATTGTCAGGTCAACAAAACTCTTGATCTTGAGATGTCTCTGTCTGACACTTCTGCAGTGTCCACACCTGAATGGGGCTCACCCTTTGCTCAGGTCTCATCAGCAGCCTTTCCTGGCTAGTCTAGAGTCAGGGGAGAGAGGATATATGGCCACAGATGTACTCGGGTGTCTGATTTATTTGAGGGGTGTGAGGGAGAGGGGAAGGAGAAGGAGGTGCCAGACAACCTAATCCTATTTGCTGGACAAATCCAAAGTTTTTGATGGTGGCTTACTGGGAATTTTGCCTAAATTTGAAATGGATAGGGATTTAGAGATTTGCCTTTGGTTTTGTGTTTACTGAGGAGAGATCTTGGGAACACCACTGTGTTATGCTGCCTCTTGATTTTATTTCTTGAGATGCATTCTTTGAAAATATCCTTGTTTTTAGAGTCATGTGAGCATCAGTACACAAAAAGCTTAATTATAAGGGATCAGAATAGCCTCCTCAGCTTTGTACCTTGCTATAGGTCTACAGCAGACAAACCATCAGTCTTCTGAAATTCAGCTATTATAAAAGACATAAGGAGCTTGAGAGTTGCCTAAAAGTAATTTTCTATTGCAAGCTTCATTGTGACAACCGTGGTCCATCCTACTTTCTGGACTGTCTCCAGAAGTATTTCAAGAACTGATCTCTTTATTTATGGGTTCTGTTTATGGATTTATGGATCACATGGCCATTGTTAACTCTTGTAGAAGAAGGAGCTGCCCCTGCTAAAATAACTGTTGCACATCTTCCCAGAGCCTTGCTATTTAAAGCTAGCTTAGTCTGGTGCACTGATGCTTGCAGCATTTTGTCTCTTCCTTGCATAGATTGAATTTTCAAATTTACTATTGAACTTAGCCTACCAGGTAGGGAGACTGTCTGGTCTTCTCACCACTAATGCCCTTACTTGCACACATTCAATGCAATAGCAGTAGTGGGGCAGAGGGCTGTGGAAGAAAATCCCATCTGATAACAAAGAATCAGTGGAAATGAGGATCCTCATAGGATAAAGGCGAAGATCACTCCATGCCAAATGACTTTCCACTGTTGCTGCAGCCTCCTCTCCTGTCATTTGCATCCTGCAGGGCCAGGGCAGTGACGTTGTTGGAATGACACCTCTCTGTGCCAGATGTGGATGCGTTTTGTTGCACTGGCGTCAGAGGAGTGACACCTCCTCCTGGGTGACTAGCAGTGACTCAGGACTGTGCTGCAAGCCTGCCTGGTGGCTCAGAGTGGGACTTGTGCTGAAGGGTGGCTCTTGTCACAGTTAGCACAGCTGCTGCTAGTTAGAGGAGGGGTAAGGGATGTGTCTGCTTCACTCTGGGGAGGCCAGAACTATGTAGATCCCCTCCAGTAATTTCTGGACTGAGTTTAGTAGATATATCTGAGTGAAAACTTGCAGCTTGTATAAACAAACTTGCTGACCTAGAGCTACAGAGTGAGTTTTAGCTCTTCTATCCTCTGTCATCTGAATGTTAAAGCTGTTACCACAATGTTTTATTAACTGCAGTTTTAAAATGTAATATTCTATGTTGTAAAGCACTTTTGCATCAGTTTCCAAGAGGGGAATGACAGTATGAATGCTTCACTGTTTTTCAGATTAGTTAGGTTAATGTTTTTCATATTAATGAACACATACTAAGATTTTATTAGACAGTGCATCTGTGGGCAAAGTTCCTGTTGATCTCACTGGGGAATTTTACGTGTGTCAAAGAATTGCAGGATTAGGTCATTATTGTAACACTTTAGAAAATTATTTTGACCTCCATTTAATGTTAAAATGTTTGTCAAAGGAATTGAAAAAGAGTGAATAAACATATTCCCAAATTCTGAGATTTTAGTCTGTGACCCATTGCCTGACTTTGGAGGTCCTAACACATAAACAGAGGCTACCCTGGTAGAGGTTGCTTTTGAAATAATATACTATTAGTTTCAGGAATAAACTTAAAATCAAATTAAAAATAGGAGAAAGAACAGCAAGGTCCTGGAGTGTATTTGGGGAAGGCTAGAATAGAAACCATCATGGCATTACAGAAGGTAGACAGATAGTGTTAATTACAGAAGGTGGTTGTCCCACAGAGAAGGAGGTTGGTAGCAGTGATTTATTTCAGAGGGCAGTTTAGTCATCGTACTATTCCTAGAAAAGGCTCTGAATTTAAGTGATACTTTACTCTTAAGTCGTTTTTGAAACCAAATTTAGGTGCTTGAGTCACATAGATGTTTTTGAAATTACTTCTGTCTTTCTGTCAGCCATTTTTTCTTGGCTGATCTTGGAAGACACGGCACTTACTGGCTGCGGTACAGTTAAGTAGGAGCTGGGAGCTGGAAGTGTCAAGAAGTTGGTGGATACCTGCCAGCAATTGCAGTACAGATAAGGATGATCTGATGTGCCTGGGGTGTTTTGGAGCTGCTGTGCTTGTGCAGTTGGTCTCTGCATGCACCTTGAGTCAGAGGCACCTGGAACATGTCAACTTCACTATGCATCTGCACACATCTGCCTTGCAGCCCAGAGATCTTGGCCTTGCTGCTCATCATCATTCTGCACATGTTCACTGGCCCTTCCTCAGGGATTTCCCACCATCCCACAGCCAGAATACTAGAGCTGGGGCTGGCTAACAGCCCTCACTGGGGCTGAGGGGCTCAGCCAGGCACTGAGGCTATAGTAGCAGGCAGATGAGTAGGCACTGGAGAGAGAAGGTAAGTAGGCTAATGCAGAGAATCTTGCTCTTCTGAATTAGTCCAGGTAGCACGAAGAAGTGTATTGTTTTTTCATATCAAGGGTGTCAGATATGGATTTGTGATCCTGATACTGCATAATCAATTCTCTCCCCTCTGCTATGCTTTGTCAGGAGCCGTTTTGTTCATTTTGTTCATCTGCAGTCTTTGTTCATGCTTTCCTTCCTGTTTTGCTTGTCTTTATAGATTTTTATCTGAAGGTTGAAAATGTTTTTGTTGCTATCGGAAAGATTGCACCCTCTTTTGGAAAGAGGCGAGTGACACAACATGATAGTAAAATAGCCATTTGAGATGCATTTGTTAATGCTGATAACATGAAGATGTTGCCTGAAATATTTACAGTGCAAGGGAGAGGGAAGGGATCTCTTCAAGTGTTTGGGGGCCAGTTCATCTCTTTGAACTGCTGCCATCTGAACTTTGAGTATCTGCTGTAAGCTGGCTGACTGGGCACCCTCTTGAGACCATGGAGAGAAATGGGAAGGGACAAAACCCCTTCTGGAGATGTGTGTCTTAAATGCATCTTTTGGGTCAGAACAGAGTGGGACAGGAAGGATCATCCCCTGGAAACAACTGTCTTTCCTCTGACAAAGGGAGCCAAGGTGACTTCATTGACTTACTGCCCAAGATTTAGGTACAGTAGGGGAAACGAATCCCAGCCCTACTGATCCAACAGTACAAACCTCATTGAAAGCCATTGGGAGTTAAGACTCTTGAACCCTCCAAGTGTTGTAGATAATGCTGCTCTTAAGTTTGATGTTTCCTGTGAGGTACTTGGCTGCGTCTGGACTCAGAAATGTGATTTGTTATTTTAAGCCTGAGACCAAATTCTTCCAGAGACCTGGTATATAGGGAGGAGAACAGTATGATCCATGACACTGAAGTGATCAGAATCCAATTTTAAGTGGTGCAAGCCCTACAGCAAAGTAGTCCCTAAGTAATAGGAGGCATTATTGGACAGTAATATGCCGAACCTACGTGATATGTGACCAGCTTTTTTGGTTTTGCATGGTATTTAATGTTAGAGGTTAATTTTAGAGGGTAGTTGAAAATATATCAATTTCTTAGGGATGTTAGTGGTACATGAATTTTGCTCTGTCTTTTGGGTTCATGAGCACAGCTTTTTCTAACCGTGGAGGTTTTGCAGGTTTCTGTGACCATTTAAAAGGAGGATTGTTGATGTAACATGTGATTGTCCAGGTCACAATGGAAACACTGGTGAAAAATGGCCTTTGACACTTTGTTGAGCTCAAGAGTCCTCTGCCCTGTTTCTGGGTTGACATCTTTACCTCCTAATGTGGAGACCCTGTGCCTCAGAAGCTTACGGGAGCCCTAGGACCCTACTGGAGACTCTGCAGCCTATTAAGAGGGGTTGACTGTGGGGAAGGTTTGGCCACGAAGTTACTCCATAATTCATAACTGAATTATGTCCTACAAATGGACTTCATTTGGAGATTGCTCACTGGCCTCAAATGGTGCTTCTTATGCTTCAAGTAATTCCTTGACTTGTCTTATCTCCTGGATGATGAGATAGGGGAGTCTTTAGATTTGGTTTCTTGTGCTGAGTTGAAGTGCTCTATGCTGGGGAGCACCACAGGTTCATTAGCTGAGTGGCAGCTGAGCACTCAGTACTCCTATTGAACATGCTCTAGGTCAAGAGTGGTGTGTATAGAGTGTATATATAGAGTCAAGTGTTTTCACTGAGTTACTTTTTTAGCAATTGATCTTCATCTGCAGGGCATGTAAAAGTTGTGGTTTGTTAAAGTCCCTGCTAAATACCTTCTTCAAAGTGACAGAGAGACAGAGAGACAACCCTCTACCAGTACTCTTCAGTGGTGAGATACTGAAGTGCGTTTGGGTAAATGTTGCATTTTCCTTTTCTCTCATGCTTCCCTCCTCCCTCTCTGTTTTGTTTGTTTCAGGTTCTCGGCCTTTTTGGATCTACACAGTGGAAATTGCATCTTGTGTATGGCGTGGTTAAGCTTGCAGCCTGTCACCTCGGCCTTCCTCCATTTTGGGCTGGTTACTTTTGTGCTGTTTTTGCATGGTTTGCAGGTGGATGCTGGCCTGACGGGAGACTCAACCAGTTCAGTACAAAACAGCTCGTGTTCAGGATCTTTTGACTGCAAGGAAGGTGTTATCCTGCCAATATGGTACCCAGAAAACCCATCCCTTGGGGACAAAATTGCTCGTGTTATTGTATACTTTGTAGCACTGATCTACATGTTCCTTGGAGTCTCCATCATTGCAGATCGTTTCATGGCATCTATAGAGGTCATTACATCACAAGAAAAAGAAATAACGATTAAGAAACCCAATGGAGAAACCACAACGACCACCATTCGGATTTGGAATGAAACTGTTTCCAACTTGACCCTCATGGCTCTGGGCTCCTCTGCTCCTGAGATCCTTCTGTCTCTGATAGAAGTGTGTGGGCATGGATTCGTAGCTGGAGACCTGGGGCCATCTACAATTGTTGGCAGCGCTGCTTTCAATATGTTTATCATCATTGCCATCTGTGTCTATGTGATCCCTGATGGGGAAACCAGAAAGATAAAACACCTGAGGGTTTTCTTTGTCACAGCTGCTTGGAGCATCTTTGCTTACATCTGGTTGTACATGATCCTGGCTGTCTTCTCTCCAGGTGTGGTTCAGGTCTGGGAAGGTCTGCTCACACTTTTCTTCTTCCCACTTTGTGTCCTTCTGGCTTGGGTAGCAGATAGACGTCTGCTTTTCTACAAGTATATGCACAAAAAGTACCGTACTGACAAGCACAGGGGCATTATCATAGAATCAGAAGGTGATCACCCTAAGGGAATTGAGATGGATGGCAAGATGTTGAACTCTCACTTTCTAGATGGAAACTTAGTGACTGTGGAGGGGAAGGAGGTAGATGAATCTCGCAAAGAGATGATCCGTATCCTTAAGGACCTGAAGCAAAAGCACCCAGAAAAGGACTTGGACCAGCTGGTAGAGATGGCTAACTACTATGCCTTGTCTCATCAGCAAAAGAGCAGAGCCTTTTATCGCATTCAAGCTACCAGAATGATGACAGGAGCTGGCAATATTCTGAAGAAGCACGCAGCTGAGCAAGCCAAGAAGAGCACCAGCTTGCATGAGGTGCAGCCAGATGAACCTGAGGAATTCATCTCCAAAATTTATTTTGACCCATGCTCCTACCAGTGTCTTGAGAACTGTGGTGCTGTTCTCCTGACAGTGGTGCGGAAAGGAGGGGACATGTCCAAGACCATCTATGTGGACTATAAAACAGAGGATGGCTCTGCCAATGCTGGTGCTGACTATGAGTTCACAGAGGGGACTGTTGTCTTGAAATCAGGGGAGACCCAGAAGGAGTTCTCAGTGGGAATTATTGATGATGACATCTTTGAGGAAGATGAGCATTTCTTTGTGCGGCTCAGTAACCTCCGTGTGGTGGAGACTGAGGAACCGCCAGAGCTCAGTAACTCCCCATACCCAAAGGCCATATTGGCTTCTCCTTGTGTGGCCACAGTGACCATACTGGATGATGACCATGCTGGCATCTTCACATTTGAGTGTGATGTTATACACGTCAGTGAGAGCATTGGTGTGATGGAAGTCAAAGTCCTAAGGACATCAGGTGCTCGGGGTACAGTTATAGTGCCATTTAGAACAGTAGAAGGGACAGCAAAAGGAGGTGGAGAAGACTTTGAAGACACCTATGGGGAGCTGGAGTTCAAGAATGATGAAACCGTGTAAGTACCCAATTTCTGTTCCTGGGTCTGCTTCTGGTATTTAACCCCACATTTTGCATCCATTACAGGTGAATGCTGACAAGGGACAGGCTCCTTTCTTCAGCTTTCCATCTGTTTCCCTACCTCTTTCAGGCAAGAACCGACAGCAGGATTTAAGAGCTCAAAGCTCTTGTCCGTTCCCTCTTGGGAATGACAAAGTAAGGCTTAGAAATACTGGGGGTTCAAGGGAACAGGGGGAAAATATATCATTCTTTGAGGTCCTGTACTAAAACTAGGGGTTAGTGAAGAGTTAAGGTAGATAGAGAATTAAAAGAGCAAGCTTTTACCTACTGGGCAAATATATGGGAAAGCCTCTTTTTGAACACCAGGCATAGAGCACACAGGAGTTTATTGCAATCCCTAGATGAAAAGTTGACAAGTTATTCCTAGGCAAGCAAGAGCTGCTCAAAAGACATTGGGGCTTTATTTTCACAGGAGCAATACATCATACCTGTGTCCCTTGGCTGCCTGTGCAACTTGCAGGTCTGTGTGGCAGCTAATTCACAGTATAGGCACAGCTGCAAGCTATTCTGCTGGACTTGTGAAATCCTTCCAGCCTTTATGTCCCTATGGTCTACCAATATTCTCCCCATCACCTTCTCTATGATCTCTGTATGTCTGTTCTTTTACTACCTGTGGTTTTTCCCCTTGTAAAATACCATGGCAATTGGCAATAATGGTCTAAAGCACTGCAGCTCACAGCCTGTCCATGTGCCTCCATGACCCAGTGTTTTCATACAGAATAAGGAAAGGAAGCAGAATAGCCTGCACCATCCTGTCAGTTCAGCTCTTTTACTGCTTACAAAATAGCTGATACAAGGTAGGAAGTAATAAAGACCAGAGAGGTGATAATGTCTAATTGCTCTAAGTACCTGCTGTTAACATTTGTGAGGAATGAGAAAAATCCCTTAGCTGAATAGGGAGATGGGTGTGAGCTTGGTGCTAAAACTCCCTAATGTTAAGTGCCTAAATTCCTCTTGTTAACATCTAATCACTTGAGCCATCAAAGGAAGAATTGAGCAGACTTGCAAGTGGTACCAGGGAAAGGAAATATTTGTACCAAGCCGCCGGATACAGTACCCAAAAGGATGTTAATGTATTAAATGCTATGGAGTAGGGATTCCCTGTTTCAAGAGCACCTTCTGTCCTACCCCACTAAACAATTTAATCCAGCTAATATCCACAATCTCAATGCTTGATTATAAGTACGTTTTCTTATTTAAGGAAGAGGAGCTCTTGGTTGGCTGGCTTCAGCCACTGTCAGAGATGGAAGAGGATCAGCTGTCCTCATCTGTCTTTTCAGGGAGATAGGCCATACAGGTTAGTCTCCTTAATTGAGCTGCAAGCTCACGTCTCTAGAGAAAGTGAAGAAGAATGTTAGATGTGTGATTCTAGTCTCCTATGAGTAGACTGTCTAAAATATAATGGCTACTACCTTGCTTCAGCCAGGTCTGGAAAGAAGAGACTTTTCTTGCTTGAACAAGACCCATCAATGAAAGGCAGGCAGGTTTGGATTACCAGAGAATAAACTCATGAGCCATCTTCCTCCAGAATGTAGTCCCTTTCTTTCATCTTCCAGCTGGTAGAAGGCTTTTTGTCATTGAAAACTGTGACAGAAGGTCAGAGCATACCCACATAGTTGCTCACTTAAGTTAAAACAAATCTCATTCAGCAGGACCATGTGCATCCTTCTGGCACAGACTAATGAAAATGAAAGCAGTCCAGAAAACAAGTATGCATAGGTTGCTTAACACTGTGGTTTGTGACCCACAGAAGATGCCCTAGAGCACAGATGAGACACCAGAGGGCTGTGTTGCCATTCAGTGAGACCTGGACAGGCTGGAGAGTTGGGCGGGGAGGAACTTGATGAAATTCAACAAGGGCAAGTGTAGAGTCTTGCATCTGGGGAAGAACAACCCCATGTACCAGTACAGGTTGGGGGCTGACCTGCTGGACAGTAGTGAAGGGGAAAGGGACCTGGGGGTCCTGGTGGATAGGAGGGTGACCATGAGCCAGCAATGTGCCCTTGTGGCCAAGAAGGCCAATGGCATCCTAGGGTGCATTAGAAAGGGTGTGGGTAGTAGGTCAAGAGAGGTTCTCCTCCCCCTCTACTCTGCCTTGGTGAGGCCGCATCTGGAATATTGTGTGCAGTTCTGGGCTCCACAGTTCAAGAAGGACAGGGAATTGCTTGAAAGAGTCCAGCGCAGAGCCACAAAGATGATAAAGGGAGTGGAACGCCTCCCTTATGAGGAGAGGCTGAGGGAGCTGGGACTCTTTAGCTTGGAGAAGAGGAGACTGAGGGGTGACCTCATCAATGTTTACAAATATGTGAAGGGTGAGTGTCAGGATGATGGAGCTAGGTTTTTTTCAGCGATGTCCAGTGATAGGACAAGGGGCAATGGGTGTAAACTGGAGCATAGGAGGTTCCATGTGAACACCAGGAAAAATTTCTTTACAGTGAGAGTGACAGATCACTGGAACAGGTTGCCCAGGGGGGTTGTGGAGTCTCCTACGTTGGAGATATTCAAGGCCTGCCTGGGCACGTTCCTGTGTGATGTACTCTAGGTTACCCTGCTCTTGCAGGAGGGTTGGACTAGATGATCTTTTGAGGTCCCTTCCAACCCTTAGGATTCTGTGATTCTGTGATTTGTGGTGTACTTAAAATTGTGCTCATGCTTAATGAATTAATGTGACTTACGCTTCTGCATCAGGAGACCGCTGGAAAAAAAGCCTGCTAGGCATAATGGTTATGGCGACCATGTGGCTAGCAAAGATCAATTTCCTTTGAATTAGCATAGCTGGCTCAACACAGCACTTAAACTAATAATCCTAACAAGCAGGAAGATCATGTCAGCCAGCAGGTTTCATTTTAAATATCCAAGTCTTCTGGGAATGGAGTTTTGGGCTGGAAACAGGTTGGTGTAGTTTTCAGTAATCAGCCCTTGGCCTTTAAATTCAGTGAACAGAGGTCAGTTGTTATACTTTGCCAGCTCTTCTCTGAGGTGCAGGTGGAAGCAGCTGTAGAAACCCGGGGGAAGTAATGGATTGGTTTAATCTCTGAGTCAGTTTCATCTCCTTCCTTTCTTCTAAATCTGAATGCAGAAAGACAATTTTGAGCAAATATTTAGGCTGCAAACAAATTTGAGGTGATTCAGGTGTGAAGTTGGAGTTCAGACCCATAATGCTACTCTTCTAACAAATGTTATCTGATTTTGATCAGCCCAGTTAGGGAAGATGGGTGGATAGGATGTTTGGGACGGTTTTGCTGACTCACAGGGCAGCGTATGAGCAACTGGTCATGGTGTTGTTTGGTACAAGGCTGTATGAAGACACTGGGTCAATAAATAGCTAGAGGCTTGACTGGCTGAATATTTGAGGCCCTGCCTCTTAAATGCCTTGCCACTGAGGGGAATCCACCACGAGGTACTGACATCCCCTGTGCACTGAAGGGGGAACCAAGGGTCCACAAAGCCTGGTGGAGCAGAGGAGAAAGCAGGAAGAGTAGAGTGGTCAGTATATAAAGCTAAGGACAGGGGGTTGAGAAGAAGTGAGAAGTTACATGCTCCCCATTTCAGCCTACGGATTGGGCTCTCTTTTAGGAAAGGTGAAGCTTGGGTTCAAGTTTCCATGCTGGTGTAGGAGCTGCTCATGAATGGCATCCTGCCTACTTCACAGCTTTAACCCTGTCATTCTCCTCATGGGGTCACTTTGAAAACATTTTTGAGTCATGGAGGAAGGAAATGAATTAACAACATCTTGCAGACACATAAAACAGTGCTAAACTTTGCTGTGGCCACACATGTATGCTAAGGATCCACACAACTGCAGCTACTGAAGAAACACTGATCAGTGTGAACTGGAGGAGAGTAAAACCTTCATATTCTCAGCTTGTCTGACACCAAATTAAAAACTTCAGCTTGTGTTCTGCAGCGGTAGGCAATCTGTAAGTAGTTTGTAGGTCAGTCTCCTGAAGTGTAGCAATAGCTAGATTAATCTGAGAGGCACTGGATTACAGCATCCTTGAGATTAAACTATAGGAGAGTTGCTGCTGTCTACCAAATCCGTAGGGCTAAGGATAAATACTTTCCTGAAAACTAAATGGAGAAGGGGTCTTCACATAAATATAACAAGATAAAATACTTTGGGGCTGTTTTTAAGAGGCTTTCCCTAAAATATGTGGGACTAAAAAAGCTGAGTTGATGCAAACATTGCAGAATGCGAGGGAAATGGATCCTGCCACCGGCTCTTGCTTCTTGCCTCTGTGATTCTTTCTAGACTAACACGGTCAAAGTTTCCTTACTCACGTTTGGGTGGGAGCACAAGAGAAAGCAGGCTGAGATGAGGAGTCTTGAAACAATGCTGTTATTACTGAAATATGGTTCCATGCAGTGTGTGTGTATGGATGTGCATGGGTGTTGGATAGCTGTAAATCCACGCCATATGATCTTGAATGCTGCCATCTGTTGAGCAAGGAATTGATCAGATCTCAAATATTTGATTATGCTGCCTCTTTTTCAATACACTGGTTATTTCTGAACTCCTGCTCCAGTGAGGGTCAGATACAACCTGAGTGCTTGAAGCAGAATCCTAGCTCTCTTGTTGACTAAAAGGAAACTCAAAAAAATCAAGTCCTAGACTTAGTTATTTATTTTTTTTCAAGATGACCAAATGCTTTTCTATTAAGTGATTTTATATGGAAATAAATGTTAGGTTCTTAAATGTATGAAAACATAGAAGACCCAGCTGCTCTATCATATCCAAGCAATAAAGAAATCATGAAGAGTCAGCAGCAAAAAATGAATTGAGTTTTAAAGGTTTTCCTTTTTGCATAATAAAGGCAAGTCATTATGTTTAATTTAAATTTTCTGTTTAAACTGTTTCCTCTGCTTAAAACTGTTTAAATTCATGTGGAAATTTCTCTAGGTCTTGCTTTATAAAGTTTAGGAAGATATACAAGTTAC